GCCATCTCAATACGCCTACAGATCTCAGTGTCACACTTACCATCCTCTGTCAGGATGCTTCCCAGATATTTAAACTTCTGCATCTGCTTGATTCTAGTGTTCCCAACCTGCAAATCACATTTCGGGCTCATCCTCTTATTGATAACCGTGCATTCTGTCTTCTTGTAGTTTATGCTTCATGTCCTTTTTTCACACTCTCCGTTGTTACATCCTGTAGGAGATTTTGTAATTTCTCTTCCGTGTCTGCTATCAGTAGTGTCTTCTGCATATCTCATGTTGTTAAGGTTATGGCTGCCAATGCTAAATCCCAGTAGGGTTTCCAATTCTCTCAGAATTGCTTCACTGTATAGGTTGAAAAGGTTGGGTGAGAAGATGCATCCTTGCCTTACATACCTTTCTATTTTTGTATATTCACTGAACTCATTCCCTATGCGCATGCATACTGTTTGCTGCCAGTATTGATTATTCTGATATCTTTTCTGAATATATCAACGTTGCTGAGCAATTCCAGCAGATCCTTGTGGCGTACTTTGTTAAAGGTCTTTGCATAGTCTATAAAATATAGGTACACGTCCTTCTGCATCTCTATCACTCTTTCTGATAACATTCTGAGCATGAATATCACATTCACTTGTTCTGGTGCCTTTAATGAACCCGCACTGTTCTTGTCCTATCTCTGGCCTGATTCTGCTGCGTGCTCTTTGATTTAATTGGCGCCATGGCAAAATTAACTTATAAAATAAAATATGGGTGGGTACGGTGATATTTGTATTGCCGAATGACCGACAGTGACACAGTTGTGTTAACACTAACAGCTCTAAATTGAATTACTTTTGTTTCTAAGAATATCTTATTTTTTTAAACTAATTATTTCTATTTTTTTCTTGTTGATCATCAAGGTTTGTTTTTTTTTTTTAAATAACAATCACAATCATTAACTTTAAAAACTTTCTCTCACATGATACGTTGATAACTCAAATACATTGTGAAAAATTTAGGAAGCAAACTATTTTATTTACAAAATTGAATATATATATATATATATATATATATATATATATATATATATATATAAACACAAGTCAATATTGGACCAATCAGTTTTACATGGAAAACATGTGCAAAAATGGTTTGCATGCAGACGTTAGAAATAAATGCTTCAATGCACTTTAGAGGTTTTTATTAAAAAATAAATCCTTATTTATTCTACCACTAAGTCATACTTTGAAACTGTAGTCCTCATCATTTTCACCATCTGTAAAATAAAGCATTTATTTTTATAATTATTTAATTAGTAAAATTTACGATTTGTTCCTTAATCTGCATATTACAATTACCACAATTCCATGTATGATAAATCCCTACCTACAACATTATTCTTCTACGAATTAAAATTTGTCTGAAAGTAAACTAGGTGATACATTTGTATTTATTCTTTCAATCACTACTTTTTACAACGTAGCTAGTGATAACAATTGAACATCGGAAATGATTAAGGAGAGTAATCTGTAATTATCCATTTATCCAATCAACAGTCATGTAATATTTTTAAAATTATTTTAATAGTTTGACAGAATATTTCCCTAAATATTTTGTTTAACGAACATCAAGTTTTTAACAAAAAACAGAATAATAGTGGTACACATTGGTAAGAATTTTAAAAAAATCCGTTAAAAGAGAAAAGATCAAAGGATTTTTTTATGTAAAAATATTTTTTTAATTTTTTTTTTTTTCAGAGCATTGGATTTTTTTTTTTCATTAACACGCGTGACTAGTTTTTTGCGGGAAAATTGAGCGCTTTTTTTTCAGGATTTAGAAATTCTTGCTAAAATCAGAAAATTGGATTTTAATGACTTTCAGGATTCATAGAAATGAATTAAAAATGGTAAAAATTAAAAACACACAGAGATCTTGTAAAAATTCATTATTCATCGAAATAAAAAATTCGATAAAATATCACATTACTCAAAAATAAAATACTGGGCAGTTTATACAAGAGTTCAGGTTGTATTTGCCAAGTAATTTATTACAGTTCTGTCCCCATTAATTAAATTTCCAAAATATCAGACTGTCAACAAATTACTCAACACTAGAAAAACAGACCCCCTCCCCACCTCAGTGTTAAAGAAAAAAATGATTTTCTGCGATTTTTAAACTAAAACTTTTAAAAAAATCGCAGAAGAGCATTGTTTTTTTCTTTTAGTCTCAGTAAATATTGTTTAATCAATTCAAATTAACTTTACCTTATCAGAAATTTCCTCAATAACGTTTCAGAAGAAGAGTAAGACTAGTTAAGTGACTAGTAGTACATTTTATTTTATTTGAAAAATATATTAGAAAAAAAAAAAAACAACCCCGTACTAAATTCTCAATTTTGCTTATTGGGAATTATTCGGATAAAAAAATAATTTTCTTTTTTTGTCACAGACAGTCCTGAAATGTAAATAAAAATAAAATCTTCAAAAAAGGGCCATATTTTATTTCATTTGCAGAAGCTATCAATATCAACAACTTCTTTTGAGTTCCGAATTTTCATTTTTTCGCTAATGTGATCCGCTTCAATGCACAATAATTGAATAATACCGAATTAAAAAAGAGTGGTGCTGTGATCGCACAAAAAGGTCTTCTCTAAAATTTTTAATACAAACAGCTTTAAAAAATAATTCTTTTTTTACACAAATGTCAAAGTTATATTAAAATCCAATAATTAAGTTAATTTTTAAATTTTGTAAGATTTTTTTTAAAAATCGACGTGTGTTTTTACGACCACACCTCCCAAAAAGCGACAGTGTTTTTTTGTTGTGTTAAAGTAAACTTTACACAAAAAAAAGTAAACATTTGTAAAAAAACGCAATAAGAGTCTGCTTAAAATAAAAAGATAACAACATCTATATCAGAATAGGTTCTTTCTGCCTTCAATTAACAAAAAAAAAAAAATTACCACATTTATTTATACATGTTTCATTGCTTTAAAAAAAAAAAAAAAATCAAGTGTCAAATTTTTCGGCGGTTACATTTTTTTGGAGATCACTGACTCAGTTTTCCTACATTAAAGTTTTATTTTATTTTTCATAAAAAAAGACTATAAAAGACTATAGAGTTATTTTTGTTGATTACTGACAGTCACAAAGAGAAGGGAAAATAATACCAAATTTCAAACTGATCACAAGTAAGAATGTCTAAAGAATGACTTAGGTAATAATCACTTTTTCTTTTTTTGTATGTTATAATTTTAAATAATTTAATGTTTAATAATTGAAGTTTCTTTTTAAAAGAAAGCTTGTAGTAAAATTCTGCTTAGAATGACTTTCAAATTTCAATAATTAAATAAAAACATTTAAATAACAAATAAAATTTATAAATTTCACCAGTTACAGGACTTTTTTAGCTGGACCTCGACCTCTATTAAAAAAACAAAAAAACTATCCAAAACTCATTTATTATCATATATTTAATTTTAAACATTTTTAATAGCAAAACTAGCGGGTGGCTAAGAGAGCAAGAATTGAAACCAAACATACATCTGATGATTAATGAATGTGAAAATATTTTTTCATTAACTCTAAAAATAAAACTAAAAAGTTACGAAAGAATGTTCTTTTAGAAAAAAAATCATTCCAAGGTAAGATCTTTGAAAAAAAATATATTTTTTACATAATAAAAAAAATCTTATTGAACCAAGTTATATAATAATTAAAATAATTCAAACGTGTCTGTATTTTCAGTGTTGTAAAAATATTTTTTAATCCTTAACCTTGAAAATTTTGATTAGAAATCTTTTTAAGTGGATTTAAAATGAAAATTAAAATACAAAAAAAAAATATTCGAAATTTGGAATGGAGATCAATATTGCAAATAGTTTTCATACTGTAAAAAATCCGTAAATTGGCAATTTTTAAAAAATTGTTTGTTTGTTTTTTTACATAAAAATCGTTTAATGGAAATAAATTATATCACAATTACTTTTTTTTTTCAAGTTTTGTTTTCACAGATAAAAAAAAAAGAAGCCTCTTCTTTTTTCACACTACAGTACACACCTTTTTTATCCTTCAGTTTCTTTTAGCAGAAACATATCTCTGGGTTGAGTTCTGGTGTAATTTTTTTTTATATATATATATATATATCAAAGTTTTTTGTTCGTTCTTTTTTTTTTTTCTAATTGTAATAGATGACAATGAAAATCAAATTTTACAAGTTTATTGTTTTTATGGTCAGGTGTCGGTTCCTCTGGGTTTTTTTAAAGATTTTAAAATAAATAAAAAGTCGTTCACTGTATCTTCGCAACCATATGAAAGCTAAAAAAAGGTGGTATGTGAAGAGAAAAAATATCGCAGAAAATGAGAATTTAAAACAGAAATTTTAAAAACTTAAAAGTTGTTTTGTTTTCAACGGCGTAGAAAACAAGCATAATGCTGTCAAAATTTCATCGAAGACGTTTGCGATTACAGTTTGTTCAAGCTACAATTGAACTGAACATCACACACAAAATAAATTAATTTTTTTTAAAAGATTGTATGAATGAAATTTAAATGTTGAATGATATCCGGCTTTTTTTTTTAAAGTTTTCTAATTTGTAAAAAAAAAAAAAAAAATAAAAGATTAATAATTTTTTTTATTTATGTAAACTAAACAAGTTGTAATCCTAAAAAATAATACTTGTTTCAAACATTGATTTCTGTTGATTACCAATGGTGTATTTTTTTTTACAAAAGAGAAAATGTTAGTAGATATTGTAAGCCTTAAGGAAACAAAAAAAAAATGTTAATTTTTTTTTTACGTCATGTGTACGACTGCCAAAGAAGCACAAAAATAGAAATTAAAAATAATAATAACTTTGACGGGAGATCCTTACAGAACATTCTTTCTTTAAACAATAACTAAAAATAAATTACTCGCATGGAATCAATTAAGACGCGAAACCTTAATCGAAAAATCATGAAAATATTTCCTAAAATAAATAAAAGAAATAAAAACAATATGAATATAATTACAGTACTTACCAAAAATAACTGGATTTACACTAAAGACAAAATTTGCATTTGAAACTAGAATAGAACTTAAAATCAACACCAACATCGCTTCTTTCTCTTATTTTTGTTTGTGCGCTTGTTTTTGTGCACTGTTTAAAGCTAGAAGAATAATTACAGTGATGGTTATATTGTTTTAAAAAAAAAAAAAAAGCGTCAATTAAAACTAGGAGAGCTAATCAAATTGTCTTCGCTGCGTGAAAACGTTAGAAAAAAATCGAAATGCTTTCAATGTAAACGGTGTTTAGTGAATTTATATCCCCTTTTGTAGGCGGAGTTTAATGAAAAATTAAGCTACCTCCTTTCTTCCAGCAGCTGGTACATAAAGTAAACAACAAAAAAAGTAAATAATATAAAGTGATTATATTTTCATATCTATAAAAAAGAAGTATTCGTTATCAGTTTACGTTATCTGTTTCGTGTTTTGCATTCTGAGTGAAAGCATGATATTGAGAGATATAAACTCGAAAGCATATCATCATGACGTTTTATGAGAAGTTTCGGATGTTATTGGTAACAAACAACACAATGTGTTATTAATTTAAAGATTTATCAGATTGTTTATTTATTTTCCTTTTTTTAACTTTTTCAGAAGTTTCTTTTAACTTAAATACTAAACAGTAACACTAACAACAGCATCATGCGATCTTTTCACGTGACATGTCTTTGAAAACAAATCTATTGTGCAATACTCAGAAGTCGTAACAAATTAACGGTCGAACAAAACAAAAGGCAACATATTCATTTCGGTCGGGTGCAAATTCTTCCAAATAAAGACGCTCAGTTTTTTTTTTCTTTCGAGATATATTTTATTTACTGGAAAAAAAAAAAAACGACACGACATTATTCGATTATTTCGAAAGTGAAAATATGAAATCTATTAATTGAGTGTTGACAAGAACCAACCGACCCGCCAATTTTATCGCGTGTCCGCATGTTACATCAACGAACTGACAATAAGATTTAAAAAAGCAGCCAGAAACACAAATCCTAATCATAACCTTCTTTGTCATGAAGGATTTATTTTATTTTTATTTTTCTGATTCATAAATGATTTTGAACTGAAATCTCAAAAATTTGACGGGTCGTTTTACTTTTTTGGTGATTGACTTGTGCATAATCAAATTCAAAAGCGTTAGGTTAATGTCTCAATCACCTAGCGATAAAAAAGTACTCAGTGTGGTATAATGTCTCTCATTTTTCTATTTATCTATCTAACCGTATTTCCCACGAAGGGACATTATTTAATCGCCTTATCACCCAATATATACATTCACACCCACATACACATACATACTCTCTTTCACACACACACACACACAAAAAAAAATACAGATGAGTTGAATTCTTAGTTCTCACAATTGCAGTATTCTCAGCGTAATTTTAAACTAGTTAAACTATGTCTATTTATTTACTAATTTCAGCTTAGTCTGACATAAGATTATAAGTGTGAGTACACAGTGAGGATACATTCAAGTAAGCCGGTCGGTAACCTAATCTACTCCTACTGAGACAAGGAAAAGTAATTCAATAAATAAAATTCCAGAGTTTTAATCAAAGACGTTAGTAGAAGTATAGAGTTGAAGTAGACTTTAGAAGAAACCGGAAACACAATCCTAAACAGGAAACTCCTGTTGAAAAGACTAGGGAGGAGTGTGAACCGGGCAGTGACTACTATTGAGGGAAGAAGATAGTAGGAAGAGTCAGGTACTTGAGGAGTGGTAGACTTGGTAGTGAGACAGTCACATCCTCGTGTCAAAAGGTAAGAAATGTATCACATGACAGTCTGGCTATACGTGTGAAATGTAAGTCACCTTGACAGTTGCCATAATTGCTAAGAATGACATCACACTTACTCAAACTTTTCATTTTTTTCTCACTTTTTATGGCCTACCTACTTCAGGGACACAAGTCATTACACATTTAACTACCAAGTAAAACCTCATTTCACTTTTCTTTTCTATATCTTCTAATATGTATTTGATCTACTGCGTGAATAAACTATTGTATAATTCTAGTTTCTGTAAATATGTAGGCAGTGTTTCCTCTCAAATGTTATTCACATCAGCTTTTTTTGTATCATTGTGGGTGTAGCAAGATTATACTGGGATGGCAAGATATATTTATCCCCACTAACCATTCCAATATAAGCTTAGGAAATAAATTGTTAGATAGAATAAAAACTACTTTCATTGTTACTGTAATGTTACCTGTATCAACTTTTTTTGCTTTAAGGCTAGGGTGTATAAATAGTCAGCAGATGAGTGACATCAAGAGTGTTCAATTTTGGGTAATCAAATTTAAGTCATTGTGTGTAACATCTAGTGGAAGTCAGGAGTTACAGTTCAAGTAATCAAAAGTTGTTTTATTGGGATGGGGTTGCTTGAATATCATTTGGATTCAAATATGTTAATGGGAAACAGATGATATCCAGTCCATATAAAAAATTTTCATTACAACCTTGTTATAGACAAGTGTATGGTTGCAAGAAAGAAATACGACAACAGTAGAAATAGATTTACGTGGTTTATTTCAACAGGAACGTGAGGGTTTGGGACAGCTACCTTGTGGTAATGTTCATAAGCCGGCTTTGTGGTTGACGCTCCCCTGCTGCTGATCGCTCGGCCTGACCGTCAGATCTGTTCACTGGCCACCTGTTGACTGACTGTTGAACTTCCGTGTGACCCCTTTTATAGCGATTTTTATGGCTTAACAGGCTCGAGAAATGAAGCGAGTATAATTAGGAGGGAAGCATTTTTATTGGACGAAAAATAGAGCACTTTAAATATTATTTTATTTTTCGACCGGAACACGTGTGTCGTGAACATTTGTAAAGAAAGTTAATGGTCATTTTGTGACGGGGCTTTGTCCTGTTCACACCCGGTTCTCGCTCTTGAGTATTTGCCTGTAAATCAGCCGAGATATGTCTTATTTTATTTTATAACAACCTTCTCCATCTGGCAACTGAAAGAATTATAAAAATAAAAAGTTAATGAGACACCTGTTTAGACACATTTGTGTTTCAATATCCACAGGGTCCACCTGTGGTTTATGCTACAACTATACTGAATGGAGCATAGATCAACAGTCTGAACATGGCCAGCATGCTCAAACCCCTCAGTCATGATGACTTGTGACTTTGTGCCAGTACAATCATCAATGGCTCCCCAGAGTTCTGTCTACCCAATTTCACTCACAATGTTTGGGTTAGCCAGTGGTATGGTTTTCAGGCAACTTCCAAAGGAGTCACATGCTGGGATTGTCTTCCCCAGACTAATAGCATCACCTTCCTGATAAATCAACCATCTGAACCCAGATCTCATGGTCAGAAAGTGAATGTTCTAACCACTTGGCCAATAAAGAATTAAAGGATGCATATATAACATAAACATAGTCAAAGCTTTCCTTTCTTCATAATGAAATTCATATTTTTTATAGTGGTTATTTAATTTGTAAAAATAATTTGCTAATTTATTCTGATTATGTGTTAGCTTTTAGTAAAAGCAACCTTAAGACAGTGACTTAGCCACTTTGCTGGATGCTCCACATTTATGGCCTTGTAGTGATAGAAAAATAAATATTAACAAATTAATAATAACTAAAATTTCACCATCTCTAAAACTAAATGTATATTGAGAATCACTAGGTTGTGAAGTCAATATTTTGACCAACTAATCAGAAAATGTCCCAATCAGGATACAAACATCATAGGATTTGGCAAACTATGTCAATTGTGCCACATATGGCATACCAAGCAATTTACAATGGCATGCAGCTACAAATGATATCACAAAGTCCGAACCAATAACTACTATAATGCAAAGAAGATATTTAGCTGTTTTAATTTTAATATATACTAAAGTATATATACTAAATATTACCATATAAAATATATTGTAGAACAGGTATATTGATTTTGACTTGTCTAAAAATACGTATGCTGTTGGCACACTGAATGTTTTTAAAACCCTAAGTCATCAAATAGTTACCCCTGGTCTAGCAAATGAATCAGAAACAAGATTTCTTCTTATCCAGTATATAAGGTAGTCAACTTCTGGTTTGTCTCTTAGTTTACTATATACTTCTACTTAATATATGCAAATAGCTACAATCCAAGGCAATCTATATACCAGGCCTGGCAACCATGTGACTGGGTCCACGACTGGTGGCGGACATGTGGAGGCCTAAATTACTACTAAATAATAATTACTGAAAACATTTTTAGCAAGGAACTTGTTAGTAATGTCCACTAATTAGTTAATTAGCAACTATATACAATATTAGGAATCATCTTACAATTACTGACTTATTTCCATAAATGCAAATGTACAAAGAAAAAACAAAGATATAAAATAACTAAATGCACAAAAATAATTTTATTTGCCATAAATTAGACATTTTTAAATGATATTGTAAAAATAATGAGTTAATTTGTTTATACCAATTGATTACAGAAAATATAAGTACATAATACAATCAGAAAGCAATTTCAGTATTTTACAAAATCGTGTATCAACAAAGTCTGAAAATATTTTACAAAAAAATAAGAGAAACAATAATTTTGATAATTTTTACAAAATTTATTGTGATTTTTGTTACATATACAATTTGTTTCACAGAAAATAAAGAAAATACTTATTTTGCTATGATACAATAATAGATATTACCTGTAAACAGTTTTAAAAATTAAAATCAATTTACATTAACAAGAAAACAAAATTAATTAACAGGATAATTAGGGGAGTTAACCAATTAAATATATTTCATACTCAAAAAAAGCTTTTACAATTTCCCATTTTACTGTCATTTTTTTACCTTCAGAATAAAACAGTAATTTAGAAGTAAGTTCAGTAATCCTATGTATATATATATATATAAAACAGAGGATGTCTGTGTGTTTGTATGTCTGTGTGATACCTTTTCACTTGAGATCCATCCAACCGATTTTGACCAAACTTGGCACATACATTGTACAATGTAAAAGATAGGTTCTTAGTGTAAAAAATCAATAATTTTTTAAAAATCAATAATTGATAATGTAAAACAAAA